GAATGTCACATGTTAAAAATAACATTGTCATGTGAATGTCACGTTAAAAATAACAATGTAATGTGAATATCACATGTTAAAAATAACAATGTCACGTGAATGTCACATGATAAAAATAACATTGTCACGTGAATGTCACATGTAAAAATAACATTGTCACGTGAACGCCAGGTATAAAATTAACGTCGCGTGAATGTCACGTGTAAAAAAAACATCACGCGTGTGTGTATATACTTATAATTATAATCTCTAGTCCTGAAGATGAACTGTTAAAGACCCATTGCCACTTACCGTGATGCATCACAATTTGTTTACATTTTCAATCGTGTCACCACTGAAAAAAAAATTCCAACCTTTTGAATAAACTCTTAAAATAATGTAAAAGAATCATTTTTGTGCCTTAGTGCTATGTTGGAAAAGGATTTAATATGAAGTAATTATTCAATATATGAATCTTTGAATTTCATGGACCACGAAATTCATCTGTGACCGCGGTGCGTCACGGTAAGTGGCAATGGGTCTTTAACAAAAACGTTTGACAAAACTACTTAAATAGAAACCTTCAAATTATGATATATAATCTCATAATCATAATTACTATAATTATTCTATACCAACTAYGCGTTCCAGAAAAGTTGAGGCTTCAAAGTAAAACATAAAACACTGTTTCTCAAAGTGGTATATTTGTCAACTTACTAACCTTGTGAAACTGTTTTCTGTAGACTAATGAAGAATCTTTGTGTGAAAAAGGACTCGCTGACTTTGAACGGGACCGCAAATCACGATTATCGAATGATGTCATTGCATTCAAGAATCGCCAAAGAGAACATGGTCAGTGATTTGATTTATTTGATGACATGCTTTTAGGGCTGCTTAGCCGTTCCTCGTAGGAAGTTCATAAATTCCACGATGTTTTTCAGTGTCCAGGACTGAAATTCTAAATTCATCCATTGAAGAACCTCCTATCTTGGGCATAATGTTTTCACATTTAGGCCATGTGTCATTCCCTAGAGTGAATTACGGTCAAGTCGCCTGAGAGTCAAGTCACCCGGAGCCAAGAGTCGCCCAGGCGACTTGACCATACATTGCAGGCGACTTGACCACAACTCCAGGTGACTTGACTCTAAGGTGACTTGACTGGATACCCCTAGAATATCATTTCTCTAAGTTAAAACATTGTGGCCATGAAAAGCATTATGGTCGGGGCAAAGAGATGAATTAGTTACATATTCTCATACAAGGGGCGAATGGCTCTAACGGATGCGAAAATGCTATCGTCAAGTGCTTTGTATTGTATAGCCTTCTTGCATTCTTGCATCCTTTAAGTAAGCAATGACGTTCAACATGTTCCTGAGTAACACTGTCAAATGTCTCCTTCTCGATGGTTTACGTTCTGGAGTAGTGCTCAGTCAGGCAAGGAGTTCCTTAGTTTGAAATTTAACAAGGGAGCAAATTCACCCAAATTGTGTCCCTCTTTGCACTTGTTTTTGTACATCCGCATTTGGTGTGTAAGCAAACTTCTCCTCTGTCTTAAAATGGTTTTAAGCTTTTCTCCTGCGCTCAATAAGATCATCACGGTGCAAGGCGTATTAATCTAAATTACTCAGAAACGCTTATCATTTGCCAGCCATTAATACTTCAGTTTGGTTTGTTTTTACAGGGTATTCTCAAGATTCTATCGTCACTGAAACGTCAGGGTTTTCCAGTCAAGGAACGTCATGGGGCTCAACACCTCCTGGATCCTTACCGTTAAAGTCGCTCTCTCGATCTTCAATTATAAGTGAATCATCAAGCCATGGCACAGAAGACGTTTCTCTCGAAGGAAAACCACGGGATTCCATTACTTCTGATTTTAAATCAGAACGGATGCCCTCTCGATATTCCATCGTAAGTAGAGCATCAAGCCATGGCACAGAAGACGTGTCCCTTGAAGGAACACCGCGAGATTCCATTACTTTTGGTTTTAAATCAGAACGGATGCCCTCTCGATATTCCATCGTAAGTGAAGAATCTAGCCATGGCACAGAAGACGTGTACTGTGATAGGATAAGAAACAAACGTGATGTCACAGGCAGTGATGACGACACATCAAACAAAATAAGGTGTGGTAATGAAAACGAACAAGTAGTATATAAAGGGGAAACAAGAACACATGACGTCTCCAAGGTTATAGATGAGGCCTGCAGTGCTGAATTGAAATCTGACAGGATTCATC